ACCGAATCCAAGAACTTAAGAGCCGTAATATTATCGCACTTCCATTTCATTGTTGTGGTTGTTACATGATTTGTTCCAGCCACGTAACTGTGACTTGTATTCTTTTGTAAGAACAGTGAATCAAAGAATACTATAATTTAAAACAATGAACTTTCAGTCTCTAGAAACACGGAGAATTAAGATGGATATAATTTAGAAGCACAAACTGAAGATATGAACAAATGACGTAGAAAATATCGAACTCTGCCAGAACTCACAACAATAAATTCTACTTAAAATTTTTTTTTAGAAATTGTATAAGAACCAACTTCCTCCGAAATAGAGTTATGAATGACAGGAACAAACTACCAAGTAGTGCCATTAGAGCATATAATTTGGGTGGCTTTAGAGTTCTGATCTAGGTATTAGCGAAAAAATAAGGCCGAATATGGGTCTGAGTATAGACCTACTGGGAATTGGTGGAAGGACTACTGGTCCTACCTCGGCACTCTTGTGTTCTTTTGTCTGGCTTGTGGAAGACAGAGAAAATGAGTGAGGTGCGAGAGACTTGCAAGTCCATAACAGCAGTAGTAATAACATTATTCTTAATTTTAGTAAAAATACAACTTGTTATATGCACTGAGAAGTTTACTTTAATTCATATCCTAGGGACTAAAATATCGTTTATCTTACTGCACAGGTGAAGTGTGGCCTTAATGAACTTTGAACCTAACAAACTAATAAGGCAACATGATTACGTTCAAAAGTCATCATTTCTTATTCAGTTTTAATGAATATTTTTGAATTAAGGGTGGTGAAATATCCTCACACATTTTTTCTTGCTGACACTCGAGATGAAGGGATTAGGTAGTAGGGGGAGAGCCTTCGGTTTATTTATTCTAGCCTCGTCTGTCAGTTATACAATGTTTCCAGCAGATAACTTTAGAATGGACCATTGTGTGTGTTTCTATTTACTCTTCTTCTCTCACTCCTCACTTCTTTTCTAGCTTCTTTCTTCCTCTGCCTTTCACTCCTGTAAGTTTCCACTAACTCCCACTGATTGCTACCCATTCTCGTTTCCCCTTCCCTCTCGGTAACCTTTTTTCCCCTCCATTATGTGCTTTTCTTTTTCTTTCTCCTATTTTCTTCCCCTCTTTCACGCTCAGCATCATTTTCTTCCTAACAACACTCTTTCTCACCTTTTCCTCTCTGGCAGTCTCCTCTGCCTCTCTTCTAAGCTCTCCTCTTTACAATATTCTCCTTTTCTTCTATTTTACTTCCCGCTTCCTCAGGTTGGGATGATGAACGGGACCTTCCCTGCCGTGCTGACTGCTGGTAGAGAGCTCCACATTATCTAAAAGCTCCCTCGGGGATGGGTCTTGTGGCAGTGCTGTCACAGAGCTCCATCGACTCTGATTTAGTCTTCCTGCTGCAGCACCAACCGGCCGTGGTGGCATGTTCCAGATTGTGAATCGATTGAAGTGATGCCGGAGTCTTTGAAATCCTGTGCGTATAATAAATTTTATTTGAGATTAAGTTTCTAACTGGCCAGTTCAGCCTTGAGCTGGACATTTTCATTGTGCATCGTACAACTGTTTATATGTTTTCCGAAAAGAAGCCAAAACTACCGCACAATCGGATGGAAGTCATCCGGTGGAGGTTGGGTATCCGGCTGAGAGTATTCACCTGTGAGAATTGACGACTGGTTTGAACTCACTGTGCTAACATTTCCGAATCTGAGAAGAACGTTTTTAGGCACTCAACATTCGCCTCTTCGTTCTCATTTCTTGCTGGTTAAAGTTTTAAAGAAGAGTGTAAAAGTCCATCTTGACTGGTGGCTAGTGGCTAGTGCCTGGTGCCTGGTGCCTGGTGCCTGGTGCCTGATGCTTGGTGCCTAGTGCCTGGTAAGCTCCACTTCAATTCCCAGCACGGGCTTGGAAGGATGCACTCCATCAGTTATATCCTTATGCAACCGTTGAGTATCATTACCGTGGAAACGTTTTGCCAACCAGTGGTTTCATCAATCCAGTCCAAATAAAAATGGAGGAAGACGTGAAGTGGTAGTTTGAAGTAATCAGTCCCTCAGCCTAGAGATGATGTGTTCGTTCTATCCACAATTAAGATACCCAAGTGATGCGTAAGTGTTTCATTCATATATTTGTCGTTTTTTCCAAACGAATTATATAATAATTACATCCTTCTCAAGAGAGAGTCCCTCACTTGTGACTATTTCACCAACAACAAATACAACATTATAATTTTCTTTTTTTGACCTGCAGAAAACTCTAATGCATGTATGAAATATATGGAATATATAAGTTGTTGGTTTAAAACAACAGGATGTTAATTTTAATTTCAGGTCAGTGAAGGTGCTCCTTGTTTCACATTCTCTGCTAAAGAAAGTGATTCCTTGGGAAAGAATTCTGAATGTGACTTAGGTATCATAGGTGTTCTTCCAGCGGATACACCATCTATCATGCATATGGATGACCTATACATGTCTTACTCAGGTTCTTGCATGTTTCAAGGAAACGCAAGTTACTGTTGTTTTGGTGGACTGATGAACGTTCCGGAAGGTATGTTCGCTCAGATAACAATGTATTCATGCTGTACTAGTGACAGTCATCTAGTATCAGAATTTCAAGTGTGAAGGAACCTCATTTTCCTGGGCTCGTCATGGGTTCGAAGTTACTCAAAGCTGAATTTATGCATGAGCTCTGTTGATCTCTTGAGAGTGCAGCCATCATAGCATAGGAGGAATGTGCAGAGGTAATGAGGGCGTGAAGTGCAGGGGTGTGTGACAGCAGGGGTTAGTGGGGGCAGGGGAGCGTGTAAAAAATAAAAGGAAAATTACAGTTCTTGTAATAAATTAGTTTCTGTTAAAAGATCAAGGAGAGAGGGTTTGAGTCAAAGGTGGGACTCTCAACAAGGAAATCAGTGAGAATTAGTGTGTCTAGCCTTTCAACGGGCACGCTGCTAGGCTGGACAATCTATTAAGAAATGTTGGACTGGCAGTGCAACCCGACAGTCCTCGCAGAGCGGTGACGGACGTTTTTCCATGAGGTGTCCGTGAGACAAGTGTTGCCGATACGTAGTTGGGAAAATGCAGTCTTCCAAATACAACAGCGGCAGAAAAATGGCCAGAAACCTAAACACGATTTGAGAGAAAACAATTTATTGTAGACCAATTCGGATCACCGTTGTTGCCGTCGGTTGTGGAGCTGTCGAAAGATCATTGAAAAATAATCCGAGCAAATAATGTACTCCTGACAGAAAGTAGGAAGTCATGAATTGCTTCATCAAGTGGCCGAGTCAGCATCTTCGTTACCCTGAACATCGACGTGTCGAGAGACCCAGCAAAAACCGACGTCGTCTTTGCATTTACTAGAAATGCGACAAAACCAAAATTGAATGAAAAAAACAACGGACAGCACAAGGCCTCAGTGTTGCCGGAGTTTGTGGTGTACTCCTCGGCTGCTCCAACTCGATTACGATTCTTGGAATCAGTGCATCACGCTGCCGTCCCCTGGGCTAAGATTTTTTTCCCGTTCTTTCCTCATTAGTACCATGTATAAAGTACTTGTGATGCTCCCACTTGTGTTTGTGTTCTGAACGTTGTTGCTCAACCTTTCTATGGTGACAATCCGCGTTAACCACAGCAGTTTGGTTTTCGGTTAACTATAATTTCGTCTCCTGGCTAATGCAGTGAGGCTTCCGAAGGTGGCCTGAAAATGCTTACTGCAGATAATTTTGGGGCTTAGTTGTTTTTAGATCCTTTTCCACTTCATGAAGCTCCTTTCCCGTTTTTACTAGTTGCTCTATATCTGATGTAGGCATTGTGTTTGGTGTTGTCATCCCTGATTTCAGCTATAGTAGCCTTCCTGGGACTATATCTGCTTTAAATGATGAGGATTGTGCCACCTTTGGTGCTTTATTGACTATTTCTACAACAGAAGATTTATGTTTGAAATATTTTTAGTGAATCCATAAGTGCTCTCAAGCCCTGAGTTAAACATGGTTGTTACTTTTTATTGGACCCTGATACACTCTAGTGTGTCTGGTACACTCTTGTGTGTCCAGTGTATGTCCAAGGCCTGGTAATAACCAGGTCAGTCAAGTAGCCAAATCTGTTTTATCCCAACTGGTTCATTTTCCATTGTAGGATTTTTCCCTTGGATTATATTCTGTTACCTTGATTTCTTGGCAGCACTGCTAGGTCCCAGCAGATAGCCCTATTAAGCGCCAGGAGGTTGAAGGGCAAGATTACCCATGGCAATATTTCAGGATGCCATGCTGTTGAGAGATGGCACTAGCTCGTCTGAGAAGAGTTAACACATGCCCCACACAAGAATGCTTGCTGGTACACGACCAACCTCTTACTTAAGATGATTTCTGGGTTTTCCCGAGCGTGTAGTACTTGACGGTTGAGTGCCACTCACTAGGAAGACTCAGCCTGTATACCTCGACGACTGTTGGAGACCACCAGCTTCCGCTCATCCTTAGTTATCTAATAAGCTTCTCAGAGAGTGATATTTACAGCTCTCTTGAGAAGCCAGGTCTCCTCTTACGCTTTTATCCCTCTTTTTTGTGTCCTTTCTTTAAGCTTTCCTCTGTAAGGGGAACATTATGCAAGTGGTTTGCTTAAGTCTTAATTTGTGTTGTTTTGTATTTCATAAGTTAGATTCGGCATCAGTGATGTCACCGCTTTCTTGCCCCTTTCCCATCTCTCTCCCTCTTTGACATCTGCTTCTCACTCTCTTTGCCATCCTCCTCTATCTGTCACTCGTTGCCGTTTCTCCCGTACTCTTTCACTTTCACACACCTTCTCTCACCGTTTCTTTACGTACATCCTTCATTCTCTACTTCCTTTTATACCCCCCTCATCCCTCCATATCTCTTTGCTTCCTTCACAATTCATGTTTCCCTTCTTCACTCCTTATCTTCTTCTCCTCTTAACTCTGTGTCTCCTTCCCTTCCTGCCTTCCTCTCCCTCCCTCCCTTCCTCTCTCTCTGCTACTCACAAAGAACGTTCAGCTTGACAGTGTCAGTAAGATGGTGTGCTCTGGGCAGCGCTGGGTTGGCTGCCGTGCACGCCAGCGTGACTCCGTTGTGACTTCTGTCTACCTCCATCGTCAGAGTCGCTGTCGTCACATTACCTCCTGCCTCCACCTGTCGGGAGAAAGAGACGTCTCTTAGTGGTAGTTAGGGGCAGAGATGCACCTCGCTAAGGTTCTCTTCACTTTGTGTTAATAGAAGATGGATTGTGTTTAACATGAAGGCTCAGAGAGAACAATGTTTGTTAATGCACGAAATTTATGAACTTGGAGTAGGTGAGAAAAGGGATGGAGAAGTGGGATAGGTATATGATAAAGGGGGACTGGGGTAAAAAGAAGGTATGACAGGAAGGTGAGGGGTGAAAAGAAAGGAGAGAAGGAGAGAAGGGATTCGATGAAGGGAGGAAAGTAGGAAAGAGGTGAGAAGAGAGGAGGAGAGAGGGGGGAGGAAAAGGTGGGAAAAGGGAAGAGATGGAATGAAGAGAAGACCGTATCATATACGGACGACTTGTCTGGAAAACATGTGAAATCTGATACAATGTAAACAGTTGAATACTGTATCATCACTGGATAATTTAAGCAGCAACACTACAGACGAAAGAATTTCTTTTAGTGGAAAATATCTACCTAGTATTAGGAAGAAAAACATTGAATTTGGAAGCAGAACTGAAAAAAAGAGAATTACGTATTATTATTATTATTATTATTATTATTATTATTATTATTATTATTATTATATTGAAAGGAAAGCAATAAACGTGCATGGGGCATATAGAGCATGGGGAATGAGTGAGGTGAGGGGTAATTAGGTTTGATCCAAGGAGAGAGAAGCTTCAGTTCCTTTAATCAAGAGCCTGTCACTAACTTCAAGGCATCGGGGAACACAATGATGGAGGTAAGACAAGCCAAGACTAGTAAACATGAAACTCACAAATAGTCCAATAATCTCAGCACCAGTAGCGCCCCGTGGTGCTTATACTGCCATCTAGTGAGCGGTTTGGAATTTTTTCTTTGCCCCTTCCAAACTTTAGCAGTTTTGGGTAGTTTTGCGGAAGATGTGAATGTTCGTCCTTCATGGGGACTAAATGCGCTTCCGGTCTCGGCTGCTCGTTTGCATATAAAGTGCGCTAAGTGCGCAGTGTAAGTGATAATGCGATGATACCTGCCAACTTAAGTCTTGTGTATGCCTACGTGTTGTGTGCAAAGTAGTGTTTTGTAGTGTTTCTGAGAAGAGAGGAACCTGTCCCTCGTGCAGGCTACCACCTGCCCTCAACCATATTACCACCTGCCCTTACCCAGGCTACCATCTGCCCTCACTTAAGTTACCACCTGCCCTCAACCATATTACCACCTGCCCTCACCCAGGCTACCACCTGCCCTCACCCAGGCTACTTCCTATCCTCGCACACTACCACCTACCCTCACGAAACACTATTTCTCACCTTCAACATGGACCCCAATAAAAATAAGTCACCATTTTCTGACTTTTTTGGGGGGTTCTCCTAGATAATTTACACATGTTACTATGCACGATAATCTGTGTAGCTATATTTATGTGCATCTGTGCCTAAATAAACTTATTTAATTACACCTTCACCCATACCACCTGTTCTCACCCTCACCACCTCCCATATGACCCCTCCTCCCCTCTATTAAACCACCCCCTCCACCTCCATCACCCTCCCCCCTCACCTCAGCAGCAATAAACACAAACTTTTTCAAGTACCTCACAAGTGGGACTAAAATCCCAGTCTTCCTCTCGTAACTTGGGAAGGAAAGATTATTAAACATTGTGAAATACAAAGAAGAATTCTGAGTCTCAAATCAGTGCTGATAGTTCTTTTACTGAGTTGAGGATTGGTGGCTACTGAACACTATGAGAAGTTTGTGATACTTGAGAGCGATAGAGAGAGAGAGAGAGAGAGAGAGAGAGAGAGAGAGAGAGAGAGAGAGAGAGAGAGAGAGAGAGAGAGAGAGAGAGAGAGAGAGAGAGAGAGAGAGAAGATAGCCGATGTAGGTAACAGCTTGTAAAGAAAGTCGGGAATCCTTAGCCTAATCTTGTAAAGCCCTGTGTAAAACGAGAGAGAGAGAGAGAGAGAGAGAGAGAGAGAGAGAGAGAGAGATAGAGAGAGAGAGAGAGAGAGAGGATAAGAGCAACAAAGAAAAGCGAGATCAACAGGGAGGATTAAACATCACAGGGAATCGCAAATTCCCTAAGAGGAAGAAATCCTAGTTAGGAAGAACCCTGAGCAGCTTGAGATAAAGTAAAGGAACAAGACGCTGGAGGAAAAAAAAGAGGTGAAAATGTAAATAAAGGTAAGAAACAAAACGTGTGCAGAAATGGCAGTTGCAATGAGTGACTCAAAGACACAAAAACAGAGTGAGCCTTTTTATTGAACGATTTTTCATCCCTTGAGTGTCAAGTATGGTTTAACGTTTCGCCCGCTGAAGGGGGATAGGGGAGTGCTTTTATCAGGAGTCTTTAACGACGTTTCACCAGCTAAGGGGCACACCTTAGTAAGCTTTAATTAACTAAACTCGTAGCTAAGTCGTAACGAGCAGTAACAACCACACAGCATCAAGGCATCTCCCCATCAAAGGAGAGTTTAATTCTTGATATAAATGGTCACCTTTAA